CAAAGGATCAGCCTCATTCTCCACTGGATTCCTAGAGGATCAAGCTTTTGCCACTGTATTCACAGAAGATCAGCCCTTTTCCACTGAATTCCCAAAGGATCAGATCTTTTTCTACTGGGTTGCCAGGGGATCAGCCCTTTTCCCACGGGATTCCAAGAGGATCAGCCTTTTTCACTGGATTCCCGGAGAATTCTGACTCTGTCATTGTTGTTTTTTTGTTTGTACTACTGCATTTGTATTTTTAATTTTTCCTAATAAAGAACTGTTATTCCTACTCTCATATCTTTTCCTGAGAGCCCCTTAATTTCAAAATATTATTATTATTATTATTATTATTATTACTATTAATCAGTGGGAGGGGGTATATATTTTCCATTCCAGTGGAGGCTCCTGAAATGGGGAGACACCTCCAAGGATGGGCAATGTCAAATAGTTCTTGAAATAGGTAAATGACTTTATGGTTATGCATGAGGGTCTATGAATATGCAACAGGCTGATGTAATCAAGCCAGAACAATTAAGGGGTGTCCCCGAAAATAACTGGGGGGGTCTTGAAGGCCATAACAACCTTCGCCCCTTGGTTTTTTTCTCCCATGACATAACCCTGTTGCATATTCATAGACTTTTTGCATATCCATAAACTCATTTACATATTCTAGGAACAAACAAAATTGACTTCATCCTGTTTGGAGTCCCACCCCAGTCCCAGCTCAATTTGGGGTGTCCCATTCTTTTCCCAGCTCAGTTCTAAGATTCCATGCCTCTCCCAGCCTAATTTTGCTGTCCCATTCCCCTCCCACCTCAATTTTGGGGTCCCATCCCCTTCCCAGCTCAATTTTGGGGTCCCGACCCTCTTTTCCCCGCTCTCCCTCCCCTTTCCGATCGTTTCTCCAATCTCGTCCCCGGTGTTCGGTTCTGGGGGCTCCAGGACCCTCCTGCTCCGTTTTGGGGTCCCGACCCCATTTTGGATTAATTTGGGGTCCCCAGCCCATCTCCAGGGTCACCTTCCCCCGCTCCCCAAATTCCGCTCCTGGCAACTGATGAGTCATGAGCAAGACATGCTCTGATTGGCCGGAAATTACCCCGCACGGTCTGTGAGTATTTACTGCAGTGGGAGGCCTTGTTCTGTGGCTGGCAAGTGATGAGTCAGAGTTGGGCCGGGCGCTGATTGGCTGAAAATCGATGTGCGGGGCCAGTGCTCTGAGTTTGTGCCCAGCAAGTGGAACGTCATCAGTACCGTGCATTCTGATTGGTCGGGATCTGTTTTGTGGTGGGGATGGGAGGAACTGGGGTTTCTTGAGGTTTATTTGGGTTTATTTAGGATTGTTTTAGGGTTTATTTGGGGTTATATATGGACTAATTGGGGTTTTTTCTTGGGCTTTACTTGGTTTATTTCTGTTTATTTGGGGTTATTTGGAATTATTTTGGTATTTTTGGAAGTATTAGTGTTTGTTTGGAAGTATTTAGGTTTATGTGGAATTATTTGTGGTTCTTGGGGTTAATGTTGGTGTATATGGGTTTTTTTTTTTTTCGGTGTGCTTGATATCATTTGGGGTTTTTGGCTTTAACTTGGGGGAGGTTTTTTTGATTTTTTGGGGCTATTTGGATTTGTTTGGGGTTATTTGGGGGATTTCTAGGTATTGTTTGGGGTTGTTTAGGGATATTTGGGTTTTTTTCAGGTGTTTTGGGGTTATTTGAGGTTTTTGTGGTCACGTGGGGTCAAAAGCTCCCCGAATGTTTCTCCTGCAAAAATCGGGAATTTTTCCTTAAAAATCCGGGAGTTTTCCCTCCAAAAAATGGGAATGTTCCCTTAAAAAAACCGGACTTTTCCCAGCCAATAGCAGCGCGCCTCGCCCCAAACCAACCAATCACCGCGGGTCTCCCCTCAGGAACACCAGCCTCTCTGTGCACGGATCCAACCAATCACTGCATGCCTCCCTTCAGAAACGCCCGCCTCTCACAAAGGGAACAAACCAATCACCGCGTTCCTCCTCTCAGCTACTCTCGCCTCTCTCGACCTGAACTGACCAATCACCGGGTGTCTTCCCACAGCAATTCCCGCCTTCTTTGCCACTATCCAACCAATCACCGCGCGCCTCCCTGCGGCAAAGTCCGCCTGCCCCGCCCATATCCTGTCAATGAAAACGCCCTCTACGAAACCAACCAATCACCGGGTGCCTCCCCACAGCAACTCCCGCCCTCCCCTCGCTGCTCCAGCCAATCAGAGCCGAGC